CGCCCCCAGGCCCCCTCGGGCAGTGAGCAAATCCTGACGGGAGGACGTTCGCTCGTTTCGCCCTCCTGGGGTGCCCTCACCGGGCCCCCGTGCCTTCAAGAAACACGACTCAGGATGAGCCGGTCCAGGGGAACGGGTCGAGACCACTGGGCCCAGACCCCCGACGTCGCCATCTACTCGCAACGTCGACCCCCAGAGGCCGTGACCCCTTCCCCGTGACCGGGTCTTCATCCCGAGTCGTTCGTCGGCGGCCCCGAGGCCCAGTAGTAGGGGCCCGCGGGAGGCCGACTTGTAAACATGTATCGTTGTTTCCTCTGGGAAGGGATGAACAACATTTTATACACCACACCACCCCGACGTCGTCCCCGACCCTGAAAAAGCCTCGGGATCGAGAAGCAGCCCGCCGCTGGTGGTGCACGCCCAAGACTCCGACCACTTGTCAGCTTGTGGTTAACAGATCCGTGGGGGGCGGAGGAAAACTTCCCGTCGCAAGCGGCCTCGCCCCGAGGCTGTGGGAGCGCCTGGGTCCCCTGCCTCGTCGTCGGGCTACTCCGCTGGCTCCTCCTCCCTCCTCCAGCGGTAGCCTTCGCCCCCTCGCTGGCCCTCTCGCGCCTGCCCCCTGCACTCGGTGCCGGGGGCAGGTCGAGTGCAGGGAGGGCGTTCGGAGGGGCCCCGAGTCCCCCGTCTCCTCCCCTCCCCGGTCAGCTCTTTCGCCTCGCGGGGGGGGGGGGTCTGCCCGAGCTCGTGGAGCCTCCAGGGGCCCGCGGGGCAGTCCGACGGCCTCTCGGGGGCCCCCTTGGAGGCCTTGGCCCCTTCCCCGTGACCGGGTCTTCCTCCCGAGTCGCTCGTCGGCGGCCCCGAGAGGCTCGGCAGGGGCGGCCCGGGAGGCCGAAGAAGACGGAGGAACGCCTCCCGTCGCAGCTCTGCCGCCTCGCGGGAGGGGGTCTGCCCGAGCTCGTGGAACCTCCAGGGGCCCGCGGGGCAGTCCGACGGCCTCTCGGGGGCCCCCTGGAGGGTTCCCCCCCCCCCCCTTCGGAGGCGTGGGGGGCGCGCGCGGCCCGGCCCGGGCCCAGAGGGCGCTGCTGGGCTGGGCTTCTGGCGGGCCTGTCCCTCCACAGGGGGGCGATTCCAAAGCACTTGAGAAAAACAGTCTGGGGACGACTTTCTGTTCAGTGTATTGTTTGACTCGTCTGGGGCATTTTTCTGGGGCATTTGTTCGGTTTTTCGCCCAAGGTCCGCCTGTAGGGGGACGTGCCCGACCTAATGCTGGGCTGGGCTGCTCCCCCGGAACCCCTCGCGTTGCGAGAAAATCGCGGCGGGAGGTTGTTCGCCTCGGGAACGTCAGACATCGGGTACAGGAGATCGACTGCAGAGTCGATGTACCTCAAAATTGACGTCCCGCCGAATCTGCGAAACATGTCCACAAGGCTCCGTAAACGATGGGAAGGGGTTCGGAGCGACAGTGCGAATCTGCTCGCCGTCGCGGCGCTCACAGGTGTTGCTTGGACCTCGGGAGTCCCAGTCTGTTGGTTGCACCCACCCCCCTCGCTCGCGGGACATATTTCTGGGTGGAGCCTCCCCCCCATCCTCCCCCTCACGCGTCAGGATCGTGTCTCGTCCTTTATGTCCCCAGGGTCCCCTGAGCACGGTCGAGCGACGCTCGGGTTCTTGGCCGTGCACATGCGGGACTCGGAATCTAGGGTCACCCAGGAGTTGACCCACGTCACCAGCGAGGGGGATGGGGTGCCTGATTGTCATCCCACCGTCCCCCATTCCTTGTGGTCCGCTCTTGCTCCTTCGGTCTTTGCTTGCCTCTCTTTAGGCGTTAGGCACCCCGACCCCGACCCACGCTGATTGGCGTGACAGCGTACCCACTTTGGCGCGCGACTCCCATCTTTCGGTTGCTGGTGATCGTTGCCCTGCTCACGCCTGCCCCCTCGGCGGGGCGGCGGAGGGAGCATTGCATGTCCTTCGATTCTCGCTGGTGGAGTGCCCCACCCTTTTCTCCGCAACCTTTTTTTTTGTTTCTCCTCCTCCTCCTCCGGGCCTGGCACTTGTTCTCATAGTGTCATTACAACACACCCGTCGGGGCACACCGTCAGAGACGACTGCGTGCGGCGACTGGGGGCAGCTAAACCAGATCGCGCCTTTTGGAACCAGCCACGTGGCATCTTGCCGGGCGCTGGCCACGCTCCGTGACCTGGAGATGGGTACCAGGCACGGGGATTGCGCATTTGGTTGGGAGGTGTACCTGCCCACCCTGGGGAACAAACCCAGTTGCGCATGACAGCTGATTGGGCAGGTGTTGATAGGCGGGAGGTACTTCGCAGTGACGAGGTGAACCGACCGTCCCCCTACGCACAACGCCCCTTCGGCTGGAGGCAAGTCGTTAAGCGACGAGGTAGCTGCCTAATTATCCCCTGTTCGTCGGCGCGCGCGCCTTCGGGACCGCTTCCTCCCGCAAGGGGGAGGCCAGGGATGCCGGTTGCCTGCCATTGCGGCCCGCCTGCACCGTGCCTTTCCTGGATTCATGGCTCCATGACTCCAAGAATCCTGCTCCTCCTCCCCCTGCTCATCCCCCTCCTCCTTCTCCTCCTCTTCTTCCTCCTCTTCCTCCTTCTTCGCTGCTTTTCCTTATGAGTAACTCGTCCTTGTCGCACCCCGAGGCCAGTCGAAAAGGCGGACCGGGCGTTTCGACTGAGAAGTCTTCACCGTTTATGAACCCTGAAGCTACACACGTGGCAACAGTTTCACAGATGGAGGGCGGGTCGCTTCCAACATGTGGCTCTCGCCTTAGCGCCGTGCGCATTCTTCTGACAAATTCGCAAAGGCTTCACGGATTGAGGGCGGAGAATGTGGTTCTCGCCTTGACGCCGCGCACATTCGTTTGAACAAATTGCAAGCACTTCACGGATTGAGGGCGGCTAGTTTCAAAATATGGTTATCGCTTCAGCGCCGCGCACGTTCGTTTTAAACAAGTGTAAGGGCTTCGCGGATTGAGGGCGGATGGTTTTCAAATTGTGGTTATCGTTTTAGTGCCGCGCACAGTTGTTTTAAGCAACGGCAGCCGGGAGTGGACAGAACCCCCAACAGTGACACGTCGATTAGTGAATTGTCCGTTTTCGGTTCTCGAGATGGCGCCGCGGCCGTTATTTTCCAGGCTTGCGCCCGCCAGGTTTGGGCCTCAGGTCTTTTTTACTAAACCACGTTTTGCTAAAGGGGGGTCTGTCCATCCCCGAGGCAAAGGCTTCACGGATTGACGGCGTTTTTGTTGTTGCTGTTGTTTTTTCTTCCCCCCAGAAAAGAAGCGCGGTTCTCGCTTCAGCGCCGCGCACTTTTTTTCAAACTTGCAAGAGTTCCGCAGATTCCCATGGCCAACGAACCAGACATGGTGTTTTGGAAGGATTCAGGACTATCAAGGCGCAAAGTTAAATTGATTCGCGGCGCTGAAATCCCGGGACTGGCGTTTTGGCGCGATTTAGGATAGGCAATCTGTTGCGTTGGGGTCCCGAGGTGGGTGTTTTGGCACGTTTCAGGGTCTCCAAGCGGTTGTCTCCCAGCGAGGCAGCCCTCCAGTAGACATGAGCCTTTGTGGGGGGCTATGAAGAGGGAGCTTGGAGGGCGGGTTGATTCCCGCATCGCTGATGAGATTTGGATTTACCTCCTCCTCCTCATCACCATCACCATCACCATCACCACCATCATCATCATCATCATCATCATCATCATCATCATCATCATCATCATCATCATCATCATCAGCATAATCATAAGCATCAGCACCATCATCATCATCATCATCATCATCATCATCATCATCATCATCATCATCATCAGCATCAGCATCAGCATCATCATCATCAGCATCAGCATCATCACCATCACCATCACCATCACCATCACCATCACCATCACCATCACCATCACCATCATCAGCATCATCATCATCATCATCATCATCATCATCATCATCATCATCATCATCATCATCATCATCATCATCATCATCATCATCATCATCATCATCATCTTTCTCCTCCTCCTTCCTACCCTCCCCGGCAGGGCAGCGCGAGCGGCACCGGCGACCCGCCAGCTGCCGCGCTGCAGCAGGAGGGGCGCGGCCCGTTTCGGCGGCGGCCGTCGGCGGCCAGCCGCCATACCAGACCCCCTTCGCCTCTTCCCCCTCCTCCGCCTCCTCCCTTCCTCCCCCTCTTTCCCAGTCCTCCTACCTCCTCCTCCTCCACCTCCTCAGCGCCTGAACCCCTCCTCCTCCTCCCTCATCCTCCTCCTCCTCCTCCTTCTCCTCCTCCTCCCCAAGACCCAGAAGATGACCCTGGGACAGGAGCTTTTTCATCATGTCCGTTCGACGGGGGCCCTCGCCAGGCCCCGGGGACCGTCAAACCGAAGTGCCCCACACGGTGTGGTGACCACACCGCGTGGTGAGTCAGGAGGGATTCGGGGTGACCGCGCGATGTTGGCACTCACGTCGTCCCCCGACGACGTCTCGGGCGACCGGGGCCTTTAGGCTCCCAGGACCGTGCGGTGACGGACCGTGCGGTGAGGCCTCTTGCGATGACGAGGTCACCGCGCGATCTGTGACCACGCGGTCTTGGGACCCCAATCGAAAAACGACTCAGGATGAAAAGCCGGTCCCAGGGAATGGGTCGAGACCAACATTGGGGGTCGACGTTATGAATAATCCTTACGTCGGGGGTCTGGGGTTCGCAGTTACCATCGGCCGTGGCCTTCGGCCGCGACGACGACGTGACAACGGCGGCGACTGCGACAACCACGACGGCGACGACAAAGACGATGACGACGATGCCAGCAGACGACGGTGACGGGCACAACAACGGCGACGATTCCCATGGCCATGGAAGGTGAGCAGGCATCGACGCTTCGGCTGCGGACCAGGGCGTGCTCTCAGGCGAAGACACCACCAGCCTCTGGCCAGATGGCTGCTGCCAGCGAGTGGCGAGCGAGTGCTCTCGAACCTCCGCATGGCCACCACATGGCAGGTGCCTCTTCGGCCCGAGACCCGCGCGCAGCCCTCTGCTCAGCGCACCGCCCCGGGCCATCCCGACATCCCTCCCGCGCCCCTCCTCGGCCCTTGGACTGAGTCGGGCCTGTCCCCCTACAGGGGGAATGTTCAAACGTGGTCGAACAAATTAGTCTGGGGACTTTTTGTTGGGGGTATTTGTTGGGCATATTCCCAGACCCCCGACGTAATGATTTTTTTCATTACGTCGACCCCCAGAGGTCCAGACCCCTTCCCTGGGACCGGTTTTTCATCCCGAGTCGTTTTTTGACGCTCCCGAGGCCCGGTGAGGGCCCCCAGAGGCCGAAAATGGCGAAAAACCTCCCGCCGTCATGATTTTGTCATTACTCGAGGGGGTCTGGGTTTTGAGCATGTCAAAAAATGCAATGTTTTTTTCCGACCTGGGCCTTGGAGCTGCTCGCGGCGCCGCCGGGCCGCCGGGGCCGCCCCGCAGCTCTGGCCCCGGGCCGACCAGCACGGGCCGCGCCGAGCTCCCGCACCGGGTCGGGCCTGTCCCCATCCCCAGACCCCCTCGAGTAATGAAAAAATCACGACGGGAGGTTTTTCCTAATTTTCGGCCTCTGGAGGCCCTTACCGGCCCTCGGGAGCGTCAAAAAACGACTCAGGATGAAAAACCGGTCCCGGGGAATGGGTCGAGATCTCTGGGGGTCGCGTCATGAAAATTTCATGACGTCGGGGGTCTGGGTCCAGGGGGATTTGGGGCGAAGCATCAACAGAATACCCCAAAAAGTGCCCCCCAAATCTTCAAGAATGGTCCGGGAATCGTCCCCCCCTCCCGGGGGATTCTGGGCGACAGATCGCAAACATGCTCCAAACATGCCCCCAGAATGCTCAAGAGGGGTCCAAAAAGCGTCCCCGGACGATTTTTTGGGGGACTATTTCTGGACGCTCCCCCTGCACGGGGGACAGGCCCGACTCAACTGCAGCAGTGCCCTGCGAACTGCGAGCTCCTCGAATTCGAAGGCCCCCGGCGTGCGCCGCAGTGGGCCGCAGGCCCAGATGCCCCCTCGCGCTGTGTGCAAACGTCGCGGCGGGAGGTTTGTCGCTGTTTTCGGCCTCTGGGGGCCCTTCCTCCTCCTCCTCCTCCTCCTCCTCCTCCTCCTCCTCCTCCTCCTCCTCCTCCTCCTACCTCTCCTCCTCCTCCTCCTCCCCCTCCTCCTCCTCCACCTCCTCCCCTCCTCCTCACTCCTCCCTCCTCCTCCTCCTCCTCCTCCACCTCCTCCTCCTCCTCCTCCTCCTCCTCCTCCTCCTCCTCTCCTCCTCCCCCTCCTCTCTCCCCTAACCCCCTCCTCCCTCCTCCTCCTCCTCCTCCTCCTCCTCCTCCCTCCTCCTCCTCCTCCTCCTCCTCCTCCTCCTGCTCCTCCTCCTCCTCCTCCTGCTCCCTCCTCCTCCTCCTCCTCCTCCTCCTCCTCCTCCTCCTCCTCCTCCTCCCTCCTGCTTTTTTGCTTTCTGCCCCCCCCCCCCCTCCCTTCTTACCGCCTCGGGACCGTCAACAACGACCCAGAACGAAGAACCGGTCCCCGGGAATGGGTCCGGACTGCTGGCAGGAAAAAAAGCACGACGTCGGGGGTCTGGGGAGGAGCGACGCTCGAGGCCTTGCCTGCGCATCCCCCCCCCCCCTTCCCTGCGAGCAGGGCCCCGCGAGGCCTCGCGTGGGCCCGCGGAGCTGCGGCGCCCGGGCTCGGCCGCAGGTGGGCCGTGGGGGCGGCCGTCCCCCGTGGAGGCCCGGCGTCCCGTGTCCTGCCCTCGGTGCTCTGCGGCACGCGTTCGGCGCTGGAGCGGCAGCCCCGCTGCCCGGCCTCCCCGCGGGCGGCCTTCTCCAGGTGGGCACTGAGCGCCGAGGTTGCCCCCCGTGTCCCCTCCTGCTCGGCTTCGCTGTGTTCTGCTGGTGCACGTCCAGAGCGGACCCCCCCCGGCCGCCTCCAGAGCGGCGCTGCACTCGAAGCCGCGGACGGCGATCACGACGATGTTGGTGGTGATGGTGATGAGGAGGAGGGTGCGGGTGAGAGTGGTGATGGTGATGGTGATGATGACGATGGTGACGATGGTGATGGTCATGGTGGCGGTGATTGTGATTGGGGTTGCGACGACGATGACGATGAAGATGACGATGGCTCTGCGGACGCCTTGTCGTCCAACAGTCGGAGCGCTCCTTGCGCAAGTCTGGACCCCGCAAGCCCTGCACAGTCGGGTCTGATTGGCCGGTCAATCGTGCGCAAGCAAGGAGAATGTTGCGTCTTGTCTATCGCGTCCGTCTGGGCCCACGAAGAGACTTGGCGGCGCGCACAAGGGGGCGCCGCGAGAGTGGCCGCCTCGCAAGAAGCTCGAGCACTGCTTCGAGGGCAGACGGCTTCGTCGAAGTCCCACCGGCTTCTTGCCAGAAGGCTCCCCGAAAGCCCCCAGGCGCTCCCAGGAAGCACCCCGCCTGCTGAGAGAAGGCCCTCGCCTTCTCGTAAGGCCGCTCCCACATCACGCCCACCCCCGTGTGCGAGGCGCCGCGCGACGTCGGGCCCTCTCTCCTGCCCTCTACGGCCAGCCTCCTGGCCGCGCTGCCACTTCCCCCTCGCAGCCGTGCCTGCCTCTCCTGCGGCCCCGCCGGCAGCGACAGGAGGACGGCTGCGTGACTGTGCGCTACCTCAGCGGCGAGGTGCTGCCCAGCCGCCTCCTCCTCCCCCCCACCCGTCCATCCGTTCTTCCCTCCCCCTCCCCGGCCCCCCGACGTCCTCCTCCTCCTCCTCCTCCTCCTCCTCCCCTCCTCCTCCTCCTCCTCCTCCTCCTCCCTCCTCCTCACCTCCTCCTCCTCCTCCTCCTCCCCTCCTCACTCCACCTCCTCCTCCTCCTCCTCCTCCTCGCCCTCCCCCTCCCCCTCCTCCTCCTCCTCCTCTTCCTCCTCCTCCTCCTCCTCCTCCTCCTCCTCCTCCTCCTCCTGAACGCCGATCCCCTGAGGTGTGGACCCCTTTCCCCAGGACCGGTTTTCATCCAGAGTCGTTTTTTGACGGTCCAGAGGCCCGGTATGGGCCCCCGGAGGCCAAAAGCAGCGAAACAAAATCCCGTCCTCATTTTTCCGCAACGCGAGGGGGTCTGGGTCCACGCCTCCTCCGCCGTACCTTGAAGGGGGGGTGGCTCCTCCCCAGCCGCCAGGGAACCCCAAGAGCGGTGCAGGGGGCCCCGCAGGCCCTCTCCCTCGGGGAGCGAGAGAGGAGCTTCGTGGTAGCTGTGCGAGGCAGGCTCGGACGCTGTGCCCCTCCAGTGCTGCCCCTTTGTTCGAATGTTGCTGGAAGTGCCCCTGGCCCAAGGTGCGCCCCCAGGATTTCCAAGGACGCCCGCAACCAGTCTCCAGAGCACACCTTACGAGGCCCAGGGGGGCCCCAAGGGGTCTCCAACATTGGGCGAAAAACTGGGGGCACCTTGGGCCAGGGGCACCTTCAGCAATCCCCGACCTTTAGCGATGGAGTGGTGGGCATGGATGGGCTCCCCAGCGGGGCACGCGTGCGACTCCGGAGTTCGTCCCCCCATCCTCAGAGGCATCCTCCCCTCTCATCTCCCCTCCCCCCCGCCTCTCCCCTGGCCCTCCCTGCTCCCCTTCTCCCCCCCCCTTTGCCCCGCGCCTTCCCCTCACTCCCGCCTCCCGCTTCCCCCCCCCCCGCGCCCGCGCCCCGCCGCGTCCGCCCACGACGCGGTGGCGAGCAGCAGAAAAAAAAGACAGGAAGAAGCGCCCGCTCACGGCGAGTGGGGGGGGCGCGGGGGGGGCCGGACGCCCAGGTCGACCCGGCGAAGGGAGCTTTTTTTCAGCCGGCGGTCCTTCCCGCTTTGGGCCCCCGGGGGGCCCCGCGGGGGCAGCAAGATCAAGCACCTATCATCCTACCAAACAATGTTCTAAGAGCTTTTTGTGGCTCCCACGAAATTTTCTCAGAACATTTCTGGCGGAGTCTGTCTTGTTTTATCACAGCGGGTTTATGTTCTAAGAACACTGTTTATGTTCTTAGAACATGTCTGGGTTCTGAGAACATGTCGTGGCAGGACCATAGGAATGCCGGGACGGCAGGTCCCCACTCGACAAGAGCGGACCGGGGGCGAAGATCATCACGCCCTGGGGAAGCGGTGGGCAGCTCCGAGGGCCGTGGGCTGCAGAACGCACACGCGGCGGACGTCGACGGCCCTGCCATCGACGCGCGCGCGTGGCCCCCCTGGCCTGGCATGGCTCGGACGTGTGCTTTTTTCTCGGCGAGGGCCATCGAGGAGCATCCTTGATCATCAGGCGAGAAAACCACGTACGAAACCCCAAAAAACACAGGGAGTGGACGTCCGAGCGATGCCCAGCTGGTCGCCTGCGGCACGTCTCGGTCAGACCAAGGAGCTCTCGACCTGTGACTGCGCGTTTTTTGCTTGCCCTGCCTGGCTCCAGAACGTGCTGCGACCCAACACGGCCGTGCTGGCAGGGTCCCGCACACAAAAAAAAAGACTAGACGTGATGAGCGCGTCCACGCCAAGAACCAGAAGCAAGGGCCAGAGGAAGACTGGCAGCAGGACGCAGGTGCTGAAGCGCAGGGAAACCACGCACCACGAAGACTAAACAACATCCAGCGGGCGACCAGCCCAGCTTCCGTAGGCTCCGTGCGGAGTTGGCCCGTGGGGCGGCGGTGCATGGCGCCAGAGCGCCCGGGGCCCCCGCGGGGGGGCAGTGGGCCCTCTCCCCCGGCCCCGTGGGGCCCCTGACGGGGGGAAGAGCCCGGGTCGTGCAGATGACCTCGCGCCACCCTTCGCCATCAGCGCGCGCGTGTCCAGCTCGACGGCAGGCGCTGGTCCAGAGAGGGACCCCCCGGTTGCAATGTCCCCGCCTCCTCTCCCGCGGTCGGCGGGCGCTCCGCCGACCAGGGAGGGGCCAGCAGCGCACAGCGCCCGCGGGAGGAGCACGAGCGGCTGCAGAGCCAAGGGCGCCGTGGGGTATTTGCGACGAGGGCTGCCGCCGCGCCGCGGGGGGCCTGCGAGCCCCGGGCGCCGCGCTCGAGAGAGAGTCCCGCGCAGGTGCCGCGCAGGGCGTGCCTCCGCCCCCGAGGGCTGCGCCCCCCGCGCGAGGCTTGCACCCACCGAGGCTTGCATCCGCCCGCGCGGAGCACGTGCCGCGCAGGGCCTGCGCCCACCCCCGAGAGCCGCGCGCCCTCCGCGCGGGGCCGAGGCCCGCCCGACGTCGCGGGGGCCGCGGTCTCCGAGGGGCCCCGCGCGCGCCGCGCGGCTGCGCGGGGGCGCCCGTGGCCCACGAGCGGCGCCCGCTCGGGGGGCGCGCTCCTGCAGCGGCCCTCCTCGAGCCACGGGGTCTCGAAGGAGAGGCGGGCGGAGGAACAGGTGGCGAGGACGGAGAGGAGCAAGCTCAGGTCGGGCTTGTCCCTCCTGCAGGAGGAGTCTTCAAACATGGCCCCCAAAGAACGGTCCGGGGACGTTATGTTCAGCATTTTCTGAGTATGTTTGAATATGTTTTGGGAATGTCTGATTTTTCGTCCAAAATTCTTTTTGTAGGTGGACACGCCCGACTTGTGAGTAAGCATACGTCGGAGGAGGAAATGGTACTCGTACCGCTACCCTTCCCTCGTTTTCGCCTTTTGGGTCTCCTCAGAGGCCCTCGTCGCCACCGCGGGATTCGCCTCGAGAGTCTGGTCAGAGCGCACCCCGGGAGAGGTCCGGGAAGCAGCGGTATATCGGCACCTCCTGGTCTCCCAAATCTGAGTGCTGCTGCGTGGGAGGCCTCTGCGTGGAGTGCAGGCACTTTTCTTCCCCGCCTCGCAGGGCACCCCCCATGGGAGAAGCCCCCCTCGGCCTGCACCATCCGCGCCCTCCTCGAGCGGAGGGTGCCGCCGCGGCCGCTGCGGCGGCCGCGGCGCCTGCCGCTGCTTGCGCCGCGGCGGCGCGGCACCCGCCGCGCGGCGGGCGCGGGGGGTGCCGGGCGGAGGAGGCCCGGCGCGTGCCCGGCGGCTGCCAGATCCGAGCCTCGGGAGCTGCGGAGCGCGCGGCAGGCAGGGGCCCCCGCGGCTCCGCCGCTGCCGGGGCCACGCCGCGCCGCCGCCGGGTGCGCGCTCGAGCTCTCGGCACCTGCGCGCGAGGCCAGGGGCAGCCGCCCAGCACGCACTCGGCCAGGCGCAGCCGCCGAGAGCCGCCCCGACGACGCGAGCGGGCCCCGGCGGCCCCGCGAGGGCCTCGAGGCAGGAGCCGAGCGCGTCTCTCGCGCTCTATCCCGCTCGCGTCGCGAGGAGGTCGGGGGAGGGCCCGCGGCAATGGCAGCGAGCACCCCCGCCACGGGCGAAGTCCGCGGGGGCGCACCCAGGCGGCGCGAGCAAGTTCACGGCGGGGGGCTTGTCTCTGTCGCGGGCCTCGGGGGGCGCTCGCCGCGGCCCTGGGGCCGACAACACAGCGGCTCGGGACGAGGAGCCAGTCCGGGGGACGAGTCGAGACCTCCAGGGGGGGGCGATCTGAAAGAGCATGGCGTCTGCGGGCGAGATTTCGATCCACACGTCGTGGGCTTTCTTGGAAGGGGCGCCAAGAGGCCGAGGCGCACTGGATGTGTATGGGCAAACAACTATTATCATCTAGGGGCCAGATGTTTATCGATATCCGCTGTGCCTCTGGCTTCTCGGGAAGGGAGCCCGAACCTCCAAGGCGCAGTATACGTGTATATATATATATACATATGTATACATACCTACCTACCTACCTACCTACCTACCTACCTACCTACCTACCTACCTACCTACCTACCTACCTACCCTACAATACACACACATACACATACACATACACATACATACATACATACATACATACATACATACATACATACATACATACATACATACACATACATACATACATACATACATACATACATACATACATACATACATACATACATACATACATACATACACACATGCATGCATGCATATGCATGCATGCATACATACATGCATGCATGCATACATACATACATACATACATACATACATTCATACATACATTCATACATACAAATGATGCATTCAAGAAGGGCTTCGCCTTCGAGGATCGAAGTAGTTGAGATCTCCTCGGCGGAATGCCAGCGGAAGGTTTAGCGGAAGCAGAACGAGGCCCCCTCCGCCAGCGCAAGCAGCGGAAGCTCGGCGGAAAGCGGCGGAGGTACAAATCTTCTCCACAGGAGATGACACGGTTTTTTGATCAGTTTTTTCCAGTACCGTTTAACCGATTCCTTCTCCCCATCCCTATCCAGACCACCACCATCTCAGCACCCCAGCTGGGGACATACACCGTCCATACCCGCAAGAAACAGCTCATTTCCCCATCTACGGGGGGTAACTCGGTCAGTGGGGCCCATGCCACGCCCATGGGGATGGGGGTCGGTCAAGCGATGCTCATCTTTGAAACCGCCACATCTTGCCCGCAGGAACCAGCTCATCTCCTCATCTACGGGGGCGTGACTAGGCCAGTGGGGCCCAGGCCACGCCCATGGGGATAGGGGTCGGTTCAGCGATGCTCGCATGAGCGCCGAAGGAGAATGGGCTCGCCTTCACCGACACTGGCGCGTAAGCTGCCCGCGTGAGGTCGCGCGCATGCGCCCCCGCCCCTCACGTGGCGTGCCGCGCTGGCGGCCCGCGCAAGCCA